GCCGGAGGGAAGGGTTTTGGGGTTGCAGCCCGGTTTTGCCAAAAAAAAAAAAAAAAAAAAAAAAAAATACAGAAGAAACGCTCATGCGTGCTGGCTGGAAAGGGGAGCTGAGAGACACCTCCGTAGGGCTAATGTATTGCTTTGTGCTGCCCGGTGTTTGGCGGGGACCTATGCAAATATTGAGCAGGTTTTGGGTAGGGCAGATTTGGGTCTGTTCTGGGAGGCTGAGCAGTAGTCCCCCTCAGACCGAGCCCTGCCATGCTGCTCTGGCAGCGAGTCCCGCGCATGAGGGTTTGAAGGAACTGAGGAACATCGGTAATTCCCATTTTCCTGCCCCGTTACCCTGGTTCCATCTGACAGCTCTCTCCTTTCACTGAGCACTGGATCTATGCTTTTTCCAAGCCACGAGCAGCACTGAGATGAGATGAGATCTCCCACAGGAGATGGTGTTTTTTCGAGTGACCAGGATCGGTTCCTGGCAAAAGCAACCCCTTAGGCTGGAGCAGGGGATAAAGCTGCTGCTCCAGTGGCTCGGGGAGCAACTCTGGCTCGCCTGCACTGCGGGCGAGGGGTGAGCCCCAGGCCAGTGGGTGGCAGGAGGAGAGGGGACTCTGGGCAGGAGGAAGGGGTCCAGGAGGAGACCTCCTGCCAGTTGCTCACAGGGTGCCGTGGCAGGCTTCGAGTGTACAACAGGTTTTGACAGAGAGGGTTCAGGCACCAAATGATCCTTTTCATTCTGGTTTCATTCCATTTTCAGCCATCCCTGGGTGAAAGAGCCCTGCCTCAGTTCTCCCCCATCCCCATCCAACTGTCCCAGGCTCTTCCCTGCGGTGCAGGGCCTTGGAAATGGGGAAGGCGATGGAGTTGCCAGCTCTGGGGAGCTGACTTGTGTGTCACAGTCCACAGAAGAGGCCACCACTTTGATGGAGAGGATGTCCTTGTCACACAGGGAGAAGGGGATTGCCCATCATGGGCCCTCCATGGGGATGCAGGGGATGGAGAGGGACAGCAGACACCCCCCCCCCCCCCAACCAGGTCCATCAGCCTCCCTGCAAAACCACTGCTGGCCCCAGTGGCAGGGCAGCAGGGGCTCAATCCTGCACCCTTGGAACAGCAAAGCTTCTGCTGACTTTGGAGGTGTGTGATCAGAGCCTGGTCCTGGTCCTCCTGATGCCTGCGGTGCACAACTCCGGGGAGCAGGATAAATATTAATCAAATGGGGCCCCAGCTTTCACTGGCAGTCAGGCTTTTATGTTGCTCCTGCATGGCCCATGGGGGGGCTTGAAAGAGGACGAAATTAGTTGAGGTCCCTTCCCCCGCTGAGACAGTGTAAAGAGGCCACGGTTTAAATGCAAAACAGGGCCTCCTGCTCCGGTAACAAAAGATGGGGAGGCACCACTGGCTTCTTACTCAAAGTCTTGGTGTTTGCAGACACGTCCAGAGCCTACCTTTACTGTGTAAAAAAAAAAAAAAAAAAAAAAAAAAAAAGAGAGGGAGAATAAGAAAAGCAAATTTACTGACAAGAGAAAAAGCGTTTCACACATGCAGAGGCTGTGCAACTTTTCCTAATATCCCCCTGCCCATGGTGTCTTGGCCTGGCGGGGATGGTGCAAACAAGTTCAGCTTCATTTCTACGGTCTCGGAAATGCTGGGAAGTTGTAATGAGTTTGTAATGAGTTTGTAATCCTATGTAACACATCCCCGGCTACAAGAGGCCGGAGGGGACTGTGCCCTGTTCCCACGTGCCAGGGAGCCGAGGGGCGATGGGATGCAGCAGGAGGCAAAGCCGAGCTGACCGTGCAGTGGTACCCGATGGAAACATCCCAGCCTGGAAAAGAAGCGTAGGAATGGCTGAGGGGGCTCCAGCAAATTCTTTGCAATGAACTTTTGCTTTTACAGAGCCCATTACATTTCTTCAGTAGTAAATTTACAGGTGGCAAAGCAGGTAACCAGGCAGCATGCAGTTGCAGTCCTTACCCAATGGTGTAATTAGCCCTGAAAAGCCATGCCCTCTACCCTGTCCTTTTGCTTTC